AGGGGCATGATGAATTGGCAAGGGGGGTGTCCATGATAAATCTGCAAGGGGGGGAGAAGTAATTTTACCTTCAAAGGATAAACAGAGCTAGGTCCACCGGTAAAAGATTGTAATAGCCTTGTTCCTTGTCACACATGTAAACGTAAAAATTTAAAAGTCCAGCTTTTTGGGTTCACAGTTTGTGACGCCGCCTATTTTATAATTAAGGAAGGGGAATTAAAGACAATCTTTTTCGTACAGATCTTTAAGTTGAAGTTGGAGATCAATTCTTAAATTTGCAACCTACAAAATCAAAATATGACTGACTCAAATCTTGCCATTTTCAGAAAATAGATAAAACTAACATATATATTCTCAGATTACAACAATACTGATTACTGCCTAGTCATCACCTGCATGACAGAAACCCAAAATCAAAATTTTGACAAAATCATTTTTTTTTTAAAGGCTCATCAGCAAGACTGAGAAATAAATTAAGATTTAACAAGTTCTTATAAGTAGTTACTGTTAGCGGCAACATATTTACATATTTAAAAGAATTAGTATTTTTGAACTTTAAAAATAAATAATATTTATCGGGGTTAAATTTTTTACCGTCCAATTTTTTTTAAACGTTTTATTGATCACAGACAGCAGCAGGATATTCAATTTAATCTCAAACATATGTGAAGTAATAAACTTTCATATTTCTCCAAAAAAAATTATTTCAAAACATTCAGCTTTACATGCATATTTTGTTAACTGAGTCGATAAATCAAGCAGTTTCATATTTTTCAGGAAATTGTTTAAACATGTGAACAATTACGTTCAAAGTAAACAGAAAATTAACAAAAATTTGCATGTTTCAACAAAAAAATATTTTTTTCAAATAAAAGTTTAGTTATCAACTAAGACAACAGAGCTGAAAACTTTAGAACAGTGGATAAAGAGATCAATGCTTGATCTCCTCTTTTTCTTAATCTCCAGATTAAATAATGCTTGTTCACCAATTGTTTTTAATCTCCAGATTAATTAACAGATCAGGATTAAGGATATCCCATTCTAAAGTTTTCAGCTCAATGAATTTTTCATTTGAGACATATAAAAAAATCGATCTATGTGTCAAGCTAATAATATTAGGATAAAAATCCATTTTGAATAAAATTTTCAGATCTTAGTCCTGTTCCATGATTTTGGGCCTTTTCCTTACATCTGCTGTTTGAGGTTTAGGATCCTGGGGATCAGCTAACATAACCTTGAGTCGGTTCCCACAAACTTCCTGTCCATGCAGGGCAGACACCGCCTTCTCAGCACTCTCCTTGCTCGCATACTTTGCGTACCCACAGGTTTTCCCGGCCAGCAGGTAGATATCGATAAGATTACCGAACCTGCCGAATACGTCCTTCAAGATATAGATGACTGGATTGTACGGAGTGCAGACGATGAACAGCCGTTCTGCTACAGGGGAGTCGGTGGGGGCGAGGGGTTGGGGAGGGGGGAGCTTGACGGAGCAGTAGGAAGGGTCGTAGGTCTCTGGTACACTGTTTCCCTGGTGGTTGTTCGTATACCCAGCTGCCTGTATAAGGGAGGTGGCCTGTGCTATACTGTCAGCTAGAGATTGTAGATCGGTAGGGATACCTGGCCGCACTGGTGGAGGGCCCGGCGGGGGCATCCTTGGGCCCAAAGCATAAGCTGCAGGATGGCCGGGGGGAGGGCCAATAAACCCTTGAGGGCGGGCCATGTGTATATTGTATGTGAGAGGAACAGGATTGTATCCGTGGTTAGGCGTGTCCTCGAACTTGACAATGAGTCTGTGTCCTGGAGGATATTCGAACCCGTGCAGTTTCTCCTTGGCATAGGTTGCAGATTGAGGATTGTTAAATACAACAGTTCCAACAGCTTTACCAGACCTATCTCTACCTCCTCTCCCCTCACCTCGCTTCAACTCACAGTAATCTAAACCAGGAACAAGATCAAACAATCTCCACAGCTGATCCTGGTTTATTGTGCTGCTAACAACAACCGACAGGCGACAATTTCCCTCGGGATTACTGTGCGACGTGTCCATGTACGTGAGCATGTCGTAACCTGCCGACACGCTGGCAGTAGTGCTAGCACTGGTTGTACTTCCAGGACCCGCCATCCTGTCTCCACAGTCGTGATATCCTGATTTCTGAGGCTTAGGATCGGCAAATACTGGTTTATAACTTCGATCACACGCCTCGAAAGCTTTCGCCGCGTGTGACATTCTATGATATTTAATATATGCAAATCCTTTACTCTCTTTAGTCGTCCTATCCCGCACTATACTCACATAATCAACATCTCCAAACTGATTAAAATGATCTTTTAGATCATTCTCTCCAGTGCTTTTAGGAACTACAACAAAAAGTCGAACAAGTCGTTCGTCTTCGTTCATCTCTCGTCTAGACCCTTGGTCCCTAGAATGGGCGATCAACACCTTAAGGGGCCGAGGATGGGTTCCTATACAACGTCCGTTCATTTCCTCCATGGCCAGCGCAGCCTCGGAGGTTTTAGAGAACTTTATGTAGGTCACTCCTTTGGGTTCATTCGTAACCTTGTCCTTGAGAACCCAAATCTCTTCGATTTCTCCATATGGCTCGAAAGCCTCTTTAAAATCGTCCTCATTGATCGATTTACCACAAACTATAAACAGTCTTGAGTTCGGTGGTTCGTCATATTTGTTAGGCTGACGGCTTCCATCCGACCCAAGCGAGTTTTGGTCGCGCATTTCGCGCTCGTTTGACTGTCTCTTGTAGTTATCGTTCATGATTGCGTCGAGTCGCAGGTCTTAAACCGTCATTGTTTCGTCTGAAAAAAAAAATAATTCGTTAAACAAATTTAAAATAAAACAAACTTGTTAAAATATAAAAAAATCTTTCTTAACAGGTGAAAAATAAATCATATTTAATTAGAAATGTATGTTTGGAATATGATTGAAATGTAACAATCAATGTCTAAAACTAATTAAACCGCTTTTAAAAAAAGCATTTGTTCAATTTTTTAGGAAAGAAGTAGTACTTTTATAACAATTACAATTAAATTTGAATAATTACTATTTCTACTGAGTACTTAAAGAATATTCTAATTATGCCCTTAATTCAACTATTCCTGGCTACTTATTTTTAGCTATATTTACTTAAATTTAAAAGGTTAAGAAATCATATACTTGTTTGTATCTGTATCAATCTTAGAACAAGGAACAACAAGGTTCTCAAACCAAAATTTACACTTGAGCAAATTAAAAATTCAATACTTATATCCGGATCCAACTTTTATGGCATTTATTCAGGATCATCAGGAAAATGAAATGAATCCTACACATTCCTCAAGGAGTATATATCTACTTTAACTAATTCCTAATTTTGAATTTGTTTAAAATTTTTTTTCCAGATGTTGGGTATTTCAGCATGAAGCTTTTTATGGCCGATTTCTTAGACGTTCTACCATAGGTTGAACCATAGTCACACATTGGTTACGCTTTACCAGAGCAGTATAGATAGATAGATACGACCTTTAGTTGTAACATGAATAAGAAATTGGCCATTAGTGTTTAATTCGCTGAATTAGAAAAAATAAATGTTATTAAAAAAATGAAATATTTTTTTGAAAACTATTATCTTTGCCTTTTGATTAATAATTTCATTATTCGTTTTTGCTATAGAATTAAAAAACAACCGCGAACCGCCAGGGAAGGGGGGGGGAGTAACCTTGAAAACAAATATACATCTGTCAGTCATCTTTTTAAATCATTGTTTTCAATCCTTTCAAACTATCTTTTGTGGCTTAGTTACTCGTCTCATCAGTCCCACACACCCTATACACCGGGTGGCAAGTATAGTTATAATTTTAATTGTGTTAAGTGGCTCCACTACCAACAATTGTTTTGGATTAAGTAGATACTTTTCAAATTTTCATCAGAACTTTTAGAACAATAGATTTTTACCCTGACCGGACACTGACCTTTCATGGGTAGAATCGAATCGGTTCAACAGACAAGCAAAGTTTAGTTTGGAGAGTCTTAGGAAAAATACACAACAAATGTTTTGTACAAATTAGCTTGTTACAAAAAAAAACCCTTAAAAGTTGAGAGATTTTCCTAATACATCGACGTTTGCACAAGATTATATTTCAGAATTCACTTATATAAAGGGAAAAATAATAATTTCTTATAGATTTCATTCTAACCTGGGAGAAGTGAGGAAACGGGATAATTATTAATTAAATGTTGTTCTTTTTCTTTTCAACTGTAATAGAAATATGCAAAAATTTGCAAAATATCAAAAATATATCACAGTGAGCGAAAATATTTAAAAATATATGATATTATATGGCATTTGCCAAGAAACGATTTTTGGACCTCCCCGGTCCCCCCTCCTATCAATTTTGTACATAGTTATCATTTGAAATATTAAAAAATTTAGCGACTATGGTAGTTTAAAAGTACTGGTTAGGGGACCGCGGCGCTGCAGCCGCCATATTATTGGCGGTTATGTTTCATCAACAATCCAATCCAATCCAATAATTCCAGGGCCGAGGGTTGCGGCAAAATCAGACTTTTGGACGAGGGCTGCAGCCAGCTTCACGTAAATGTACGCATTCATTTAAATATCAGTAATTTTTGGGTAATTTCCTAGAGAAGGATTTTTGGACCCCCTTCCAAAAATCGTATACTAGGACAGACCCAAAATAACAATTAAAATCAGTTTAATGATCCATAACTCTAGTTTAATGAACAAGAGAAAACTAGGGCTTACAAACTATAACATTTACAATTATTAATTTGTATCCATTTTATCACTGTTAATTGTTTTCTAGTTAAAATATTACTAGGTTTAAGGTGGGACTGTAAACATGTTCATACAGGAGCGCTACACTACACTCCTGTACTACCCTCCAGGCCTATAGCCTACAGTTACAAGTGGCAGGTAAAATAATTTCAGCTCACACTCTACAATCCACCGCTGGGATTCAAAGCTTAGAGAGAGATTTCTCTAGAAACCGGTTTTAGAGAAATCTAGGGAAAATATATTTCCTTATTATTCAATTCTAAATTTTTGCTGGGACTATATTGTAAAAATCATAATTAAAAAGTTTCTTTAATCATTTTAATGAAAATGTCGTCTTTTGAATCGATAAAAAATTATTATGTTTAACAAGGACGTATACAGAAATAAATCTTGGGGAGGCAAACCATACGCGAAGCGTCAAAAATGCGTCATAATCAAAAGGAAACACATACACAATTTCAAACAAAATTTACAAAGTTAAGTTTTTCCAGCCCGAACTTTGATTAAAAAAAATATTATGCAAATGAATTCAGGATACTATATACAGATCGACTACTGTGCATAAATAATCAAATTATAGTCCCGTTTTAAGTAGAAATTGACGATTAAAAATGGAAAATGGACGCACACTCCCGCAAATAGGTACAATGAGGTTTGGAAGCTGTGCGGGGGAGGTTGCCTTCCCTCGCTCTAGGGGCAGACGGAAAGGAAACAACCCTAGAAAAATGCGGGAAGCCAATATGTAGAATGTATATATGATACTTATAATCTATTTTAAGAATAGATAAAAACATTTTCCCTGTGGAACACTTAATAAATAAAAAATTGTTTAGTTAAATAAAGATAATTCTTTTGTTTTGGCGCGCAGGTAGATTGGAATTAGCTAGTCCGGGGGAGTAGGGGAATTTTTTGGGACCAGAAAACCTTAGAAAAGGTCGAAATTAATGACTCATTACACATTATGGTTTCTCGATAAAAAAAATGTATGGCTAAGGGTTCAGTTTGAGCGTCATGCTTTTAGCCTGAAATGGCTTTTTGAGCTTTAAACGGCATTTTTCTTTTTGATGCCATTTTTCTTGAAGTAAAAATAATTTGTGGCTCAAAGGAAAAGAAAAAATATTGCAAAACTGCAGACAAAATATCTATTTAAATTGCCTTTGACAAAAGGAAGCATATTGCATAAATCTTGCAGGGAAGTTTTGCATTTTTTGCTATGTAAATGGATTTGAAAAAAAATATTTTGTTATTTTCAAATCTGAATTTTTTTCTTTACTGGTTTTGCATTAATTTACGAAAATCATCCAAATTTTGAGAAAAATATTTTTGCCAAAATTGAAACCCTTATTACTTTTTGTTTGATTTTGTTTTACAATGATATACAAAGAGAAACGAAGCGCCCTAAAAGCCATCCTCTTTAAAATAGAAAAATTAATTTAAAACAAGATATGAATAGCAGTATACTAAAGAGTCTGAAGCTAAAAAGACTAACAATTCTGTAGGTATTCAATTTAATAACGACGATTTTAACATTTTAATGTTTAATAAAATAACGATTTATAAAAAGCAAAGAAATTGGAATGGATATGTCGATGGATCGTACTATAGGGTGTCCCAAAGAAATTGGAATGGATATGTCGATGGATCGTACTATAGGGTGTCCCAAAGAAATTTGAATGAATATGTCGATGGATCGTACTATAGGGTGTCCCAAAAAAACATGGGAATTCAGTGACGAATTGGATATCGTCGTTGTTATGAATTAACATTGTTATATCTGATTTCACAAGCCATGGTATTATTATGTCTGCTATAAGTGTTTATTTTATGTAAAACGTAAAGATGTGTCTATAATGTCTCCGCAAGAAGAACAGTGAAGACGGACAAGTTTACTCTGTTTGTAAACTACAATTTCCTTGTTTTATTAAGTACAACCGTATACATTCAAAACATAATCAAATAAATTGTAAACATAACAGACGAAACTCCTACAGATTACAGCTTTCTCAGTAGGTAACACTATACTAAATCAAAGAATTATTTAAAGACGATATCGAATTCCCATGTTTATTGGGACACCCTGTATATTAGTGTGATGTACTGCGTATAATTTGTGAACATTTACATGAATTGTACATTTAGAACTCCCTTTCAGGCTAAAAGGGACTGACAAAATTCATACCAAGGGATTGTTTAAATTCCACTCTATGTATAATCTATTCTCTTTGAGTAGGCTGAAAAATCGCGAGAAGCCAAGATCTGTAAAAGGGATGAGGCTTAATCAACTACTGGAAAATGAAGATGCCTTAAGCTATTAAAAATAGAGATATACAACTCTATATTTCAACACTACCCCCTCCCAAAAAAAAAATTGTAGTAAATAAACAATCTCATTTAAATCTTTGTAACCCGTAAATGTACGTTTTTTAAGTTCATTGACTCTAGTTGCGGTCAACCTATTTATCTGCACCTTTTTATAACTAAATATGCACAGTTCAACACAGACTCTTGTTATATACAAATCGTTATATACCTGGATAGATAGAGAGGACAGATTAAACTGGACGCATTTATGCTGATAAGGACGAAGGAAGAGTTTTCTTACAATAATAATAATAATGCTAATAATAATAATAATAATAATAATAATAATAATAATAATAATAATAATAGTAATAGTAATAACAATAATAATAATAATAATAATAATAACAATAATAATAATAATAATAATAATCATAATAATAATCATAAACATATCATGGATACGACCTGATTATTAATGATGATTAAATAATTGAATAGTTAAATTGAAATGGATAATTAAATAATTAGTCATAATTAAATTTAATCATGTTTAGATTGAAAGCACTTGGATGAGAAAAACACAAGAAAATGTTATAGCATTCCGTGCATTTAAACAGAAGGAAAATGTCAAATTCTTGCGATATTGCTGTTACGACTTGTGACTTCGTTGCTCCTCCAGCTTATATTTTATGAACAAGTATAAGAAAAGCATGTTTATGAACAAGTATAAGAAAAGCATGTTTATGAACAAGTATAAGAAAAGCAACTTCTTTTGGTTTCATAGTAAAAATTCAAAACTTTTTTTCCAAGCTCTTCAAGAAGAGGATTTTTTATACAAAACAAACAGTTAAAATTTTAATCTAGCGTGAGAGGATTTGATACTTTGTTATAAACACTAATTTTCAAATGCCTATATTTTTGAAACCTGTTGGTGTAAACTTTTGATATTTCAAACTTAGATTACTTGATCGAGGGGAGGAAGGGCAGCCACAATAATTTCTAGTCCGAGCAACATTCTCCTCATTTTCTCGTCCGAGCCACCTCGAAATCCTCGTTCTTCGAATATTATCTTTTTTAAGTGTTCAATTCTCCAAGATAAAGCAATTTTTTAAGAATCCGGTCACGTTAGAGCATTAACAAAATATTAAATTTTTGTAAAAAGAAAGAAATACTTTCAAAAGAGTTTAAGTTTTTGAGTACAATATCCTGAAAAATATTCACTTTTCTTACGCGCATTTTCAGATAATCTAGGTGTTATAGAATGACGCAAATACTTCCAAGTTTATAGAACTTTGATCTTTCTTGTTAATTTTAGCGAAATCAGAGAATTTTTTTAGGTGGTTCCATGGGGAAAATTATAGGCAGAGATATGCCAAATATTTTTCTATTTATTTTATATCACGAAGGTTAGCCATTATGGAGGCAAAAGAGATTTAAGTTTCATTTAAATAATGTTTGACATCATTCTCACGGCTTGGAGATTTCAATATGATGTAATCATTGCAATACTTTAGGCTATCCATATTTTATGCCTTTACGTGGCCTGATTTTTAAAAGATAGCTTTAATTTCAAGATTTAGAAACTTACAAACACATAGTAAGCGAAGGACGAGGATTTCGAGGTGGCTCGGACGAGAAATTGCTGTGGCTTGCCTTCCTCTCTTGATCTAACTCTTATTCATAGTTTGAAAGGTCTACGAAATTGTGTTTTAAGATAGGACGGCGTCGGAGTATCAGTTTCGTAATACCTGTCTGTTGGATCGGAGGACACCCTCAGGCCTCAATACACCATTTCTGCAGTCAGTTATAAAAGTCGTCTTAATTTTAAAAGTTTTGCAAGATTCTGCCGTCTAACATTTTACATTTTTAATGTTTATATACACCATGGTGCAACCTTTGAATTTATATTTGTTTTACAAAACTTTAAGTATTCTTACAGTGAAAAAATCATTTTCTGAGATTGGAGCTTTTGTGTGGAATTTATTAATATTGAACGTTTGATCTCGATATCTATAAATGTGGGCGCTTATAAATTTGAGGATCAATGCTTGATCCGTCATTAAAAGATACCCCGGTAGGGTATGACAAACACGGGATGTGAAACAGGAATTACATTAATCATTAGGACTGCATAAGAAGGAGATCAATGCTTTATACCATGAGATTTACAACGTCAACATATAACAAGATTCTAAATCCAAGATGCAAGTATACAAAATACAAATTATAGATAATCTTATATATTAATCTCTGTTTGTTTGTTTATATGTCCGAACAATCCTCATGAACCGCAAAGGAATTGAATTTTTGCCACAAATGCCAATTTTATAATACCTAATTCTCAACAACTAGATGATGCATACCTTTCATATTTCAAACTTACATTGTTTGATCCACCAGAATTCATAGTTGGAAATATCTACGGTCTACGACATTTGGTTTTAAAGAAATTGGGATTTAAAAAAAGACTCAATTCCTTTGTCTCAAATTTTGATTGGAGAACTCGGGCTAACTACGGAAATGTTCTTAGCTTGGTTTTGAGAGGCTAAGTTGAGGGGGTCTAATTTAAAGGGGAAAATAGCTAAATTCGTAAATTAATCACGACCACGCGCGGGTAAACGGCGAGAGTAACTACGAGAACCGTGGATTAACGCTGGATTCTCAAGCTACAGGGTGTCACAATAAACATTGTTCCGTTAACATAATTTTTGTAGTATTCCAGTTAAAACAGTTAAAAATTAAATCAACTTGTATTAAGAGTTTATAATAGATATTAAGAAATCTGTCCAACTATAATTTATTAGATAACCACGAAATCACGAAATGTGTAATATCTCCGCCAATTTTGAATATACAAAGACGGCACACTACATTTTCAAAAGCCCATAATACGTTCAATATTTATTTTCAAACACTCTTTGTCATTTATCAAGTATCAGAAATTCAAGACGAATTTCAAGTCGTCTCTTTATTTCCATTATTATTGGAACACCCTGTAGTTCTTCATAAACTAGAACGCTTCAATAAATTTCTTTTAGCATTAGATTCTATCTTCTCGATTCTAGCATTTTGATAGATTTTCTCTCAACGTATTATGAGATTCTATCAACGTACTATGAGATTCTATCAACGTATCATGAGATTCTATCAACGTTTGAATAGATTCTATCAAAGCTTTATGAGATTTTATCAAAGTTTTGTTAGATTTTATCAAAGTTGTATGAGAGAGATAGTATCAAAGTTTATGAGATTCGATCAATGTATGAGAGAGATAGTATTGTTGTACTTCGGATTGTTCTTGATAAGAGTAAACAGTCCCTTGAATACAACTGGATACCAGGGATCAGTACAACCCGAGCCGTAGCAGTAGACACAAGTCTCCTGCACACTACCGCTCTGGGTCCTGTGCTACATACAGCGCACAGACAGCATACAGAGGGAATCTTTCTGGACGAGCTACAGCAGGAGAAGATGAACCGGGTTCCCGTTATTGTACAGAACCCCGCCTACATTGAGGAAGTAGAACTGGATGAAGAGGAAGTTGATCCTGCTGATATCACTCCTCTCATCAGTGGAGACACTCCCATTATCAGTGTCCCAGCCTCAGAGGACGAGAACGTAGCTGAGGATGTAGTAGAGGATGGTGAGGAGGATGAGGATATGCAAGATATCCTAGAGAAGATGGAGAAGCTTGATACAGAGGTCAAGGAACTCCGAAAGGAGATCATGGATCTCCTGTCCTCTATTCCTGAGGACATTAACTCCCTCCAGCATACTGTTGTCCCCCAAGTTGAGGTTTGTGACACAGGGAAGGCTTGGGAGCAAGAGTACAGGCTGTATCCTGACCCTACTAGGAAAGAGGTCAGTGACAGGCTGGCTAACCAGGTTTGGGATCTGCTCCAGATTATGCAGGAGCGGGTTGACCAGCAGACCTGTAATAGTAAAGATATAAAGTTGATAGACAGACTGAAACCTATATCCGTCATGCACGATAGACTTGGTAAACTAACTGAAAGAGTGCTTAAACGTCAAGCTAAGAAACCTTATAAGTAAAAGGGATCAAGGCTAATAATCATGTCATCAGTTATCTTTATTTAATGTTATGTATGCGTTTATGATTATGTAAATACATGTATTAACATTGTAGAACATAAGTTTATTACTTTGGGTGTTAACTATTGCACGCGCAAATAATTGTATAAAGGTTTACTCTGCATGATAGAGATGGCCCGAAGTATAATATTGCCAGGTTGCAAAGATAACAGCAACGCATGAGGGTTAGGTCCGAGTATTGGAAATAACCCGATCTGCAATGTTGTCAGGTTGCAAAGATATTAGGTCTAATACAAGTAGAATAACTTGAAGTGTGATCTTATCAAAGTTTGCTAATTAAGTTTGCCAATTCATTGCACATTTTGTAGTAGTAAGAGAATACTACAGTATCAAAGTTTATGAGATTTTATCAATTTTTGAGAGAGATATTATCAAAGTTTATAAGATTCGATCAATGTATGTATGTATGTATGAGATTCTATCAATGTAGGAGAGATATATTATTAAAGTTTATGAGAATCCATCAAAGTTTATGAGATTTTATCAATGAATGAGAGATATATTATTAAAGTTTTTGAGATTCTTTTAAAGTCGTATAAGATTCGATCAATGTTTGAGAGAGATATTATCAAAGTTTATAAGATTCTATCAAAGTTTGTGAGATTCTAATCAGCACAGCATCATACAATCAGAAGAGAACAATAGGTATACCAGCCAGCAAGAATATTTAGAGGACTGAGTAATACCTAAAGACAGAGACGACTGTAGGGATTTCTTTTAGCCTTTTATCTTATGATTATTGCTAAAAAAAATTGAAGAGAAAAACGACAGTAGGGAATTCGTTCAGCCTTTTATCTGTAAACTTGTTTCTTTCTTTGCTGTTTCAAAAAGTTTACAATCATACATACGATATACCAGGCATAAGATCAAATATAACCTTTAGTACAGAATATTTATAGATTATTGGTCGTCATTTAAGTCTCATCTTTTGTGGGTAACTTTAAAGTTAACAATGAGGTA